CCTGGCTCTGCCTCCCGAGTGCTGGGATTAAAGGCGTGCGCTAACACCGCCCGGCTCCACCCCCTTTTTCTTCACTAGAAAACAAGTTACTTTGTATCATCCAGGTCTAGATTTTACAGATTATTCAAATAATGGAAGTGTAACCTGTTACATCAGGGTGAATAGCCAAGTAGAGTCACAGCCTATCTTTAGCAAAGGAGGGAAGTAAATAAGCCATATCTTTGAAGCTTTGCTGTGGCTATCCAAGTGGCTGTTGAAGAAGTCCTGCAATCTTTTTGGCCCAGTTCAGTGTGTGGACTTTCATCCTGGTCATCAGCCTGTGTTTGGGGAGATGTTAGCGTCAGAGTGTGCGGCGTTAAACCGCCAGCTGAGGTTGATTCTGCTTTGTTTTGTCTCAGATAGGGTTTCACGCACATCTGTGTAGACCAGGCTGTCTCCTGCGGTGATCCTTCTCCCTCTGCTTCTGCCTAATTATTTTGAGAGAATGTTGCAGTGAGTAGTAATAGTAAATGCAGGAAAAGGCAGTTTCTGAGAGAACAAGGAAGGAAGCCTTGAGGAACCAGGGTGAATTTGCACATCTGTCTGTGTGATGAGTAGCCTGTGTGGCCTTTTCATTCTTTTGTAAGAAAAAGCTCCTACATTTTTCCCCCTTGTATTTGTCTTTTCTAGATTGTCAAAAGAGTGGGAACTAGTGAGGAAGCCCCAATGATTGGTGACAAAGTTTATGTCCACTACAAAGGAAAATTGTCCAATGGAAAGAAGTTTGATTCCACTTACGATAGAAACGAGCCGTTTGTTTTTAACCTTGGCAAAGGTAAGAGGGAATTTTTGCAATGTTACTTCGATTTGTTTCTATTTGTATTCTATAGAAACAGTGGAACCTATCCCTGGCAAGGGTGGCTCACAGATCCCTAGGATCTCTGAGATCCTTTGGGATCCATGCCATCAGTTCATTTCCTAACAGTGCGAAGAGGATGCCTTTATAACTAACTGACATTTGCATTGACAGACTAACACCTGCAGAGACACAAACTGCTGGTACCTTAGTGTGAGTCAGGGCAGGGACAGCCGTCTCTGCCAGCAGTCTGTTATCACTGCCTCTCCCTTACCCTTTACACAAGGGGGGTGTCTGGGTTTACCCCAAGGCTTGGTAAGTCAGCACAGAATCACACTGACTCACCCTAGTCTTGAGATTCACATAGTGTTGCTGCTGTGTGGAAGAACAGTCGTGAACAGAGCCCTTCTGTGTACCCTCGTCTTCAGGGAGCCTGCTGCTTTTGTAGTTGGGACCTGAATTAGCTTAGTGGTTTTCATGAAACACCATTTTTACTTGAAAGAGCAAACTAGGACTATTCAGACTTCGCAGGTATCTCCTGAAGTTGAATGAAGTAAACCTGCCACTTTAAGGAGCACAACTAACAATGTCTGTGCCGTTGCATTTCCAGGTAAAAGGGTCTAAACATTTCTGTCTGCTGTGCACCTACAGCTTCCTGAGATATGAGACTTTTCTGTGAGAGCAGTGGGTGTTCATGAGTGTGATTTCTCTGCTGGACAGTGAGATTTGTCACTATGAGAATATCTTCCTAACTCAGTCAGATACATAAGGTCAAGTGTGGTAAGCAGGCCATTCAAAGTACAAGCTGAACCAGAGGTTTTGGCACAACACAGCATGAAGAGACCTTTGGTGAGCTTTGAGAGTCCACATTGCAGCTGACCTTTTGAGCCTCTCGTCCACTTTTAACACAGTCACCTGGGAATCTGTGACACCGCTTTCCTGCCATTTCTTAGCTCTCTGGGTTTGCACTTCTCCCACCTCTTCAGTCAGGAGTAAACAAATGAATTCATCTTGGCTTACATTAAGTGAAACACATTCCACTTTTATATCGTTAGCAATGACAGCTCAGGATTGGGGTGTAGTTCAGTTGTTAGAGTACTCCCCTGGCATCCACAGAGCCTGAGTTTGATCCTTTGGTATAGTGGTACAGGCCTGTAATCCCAGCACTTGGGCGATTGGAGGCGACCATAGAACAAAGAAACACCAGCCAGGCACAGTGGCACTCATCCCAGCAGCTGGGAGGTGTCCTGGTTACGGTTTCTGTTGTGGTGATGAACACCATGACCAAAAGCAAGTTGGGGAGGAAAGGGTTTGGCTTACATTTCCACATCTAGTCCACCACTGAAGGAAGTTAGAACAGGAACTCAGCAGGACAGGAACCTGGAGGCAGGAGCTGATGCAGAGCCATGGAGGGGTGCTGCTTACTGATTTGCTCCCCATGGCACGTTCAGCCTACTTTCTTAGAGAACCCAGGACCACCAGCCTAGGAATAGCACCACCCACAATGGGTCGGCTCTCCCTCATCAATCACTATTTAAGGAAAAAAAAAAAGAAGTCCTATGCTAATTTTGGGATTCTAGTTTGACTTTAGTGTTTTATTTTGAGACATAGTCTTCTGTATATAGCCCTGGCTGTCCTGGAACTCACTATGTAGAACAGGCTGGCCTTGAACTCAGAGATCCACCTGCCTTTGCTGGGATTAAAGGAGTGTGCCCCCACACCCAGCTGGACATTAGTATTTTAAATAGAACTATTATGAACCTGACTATAAAAACTTTGTTGAAAAAATGCACGTACAACAGAGTGCTGCATTTCTACACTGCGTGTGTGCCCATTGCCTTTTCTGTACTCTTTTAGACTCTTTCATCATCTTCACTGAAAACAACTGTGTGCATTAACTATAGACTGCTGTGTAATGTTGAGATAAAAGAAATGCACACCATTGCGTAGATCTGCCTAACGTAGTGCACACTTGGGTGTTTATTATTGTTATTACATCAGAAGATTATTGGCTGGCTTTAAAGTTTTTACGGCAGTTACAATAAAAACTATTGTAATGGCCTATGTCGTAACTCTCCTTATCGCACAGGCACATAAACCTTCTAAGTAATGCTTACCAGCCTCTTTGTCCCGTGAAGTTGGAAAAGAGAAACTGAATCAGTCTGTGCACTAGTTGTTACCACTGTGGAGTGTGTTACAGTGTGAGGGGGGAGATAGCTTCCCTCATGGGTTTATCGTTCCTTTTCTTTGGGGTGGTGGCGTCCAAATTCATTCTCTCCCAGAAGCATTCTTTCTTGATTATAAAATACTAAGTAAAACAAAGCAAATACTTTCTTAAAGTTTCTTGTCTATCTCTGTCACATTTTGGGGGTTAGAAAAATTGAATGTCCAGTTTTCCAAACATTGTTATTGCTTAATAGTCTTCTTTTTAAATAGTGTCTCTTTTCTCCCTTGTTAAAAGAAATCACTAAGTATACAACTTTTAAATATATCCTTACATTTAAATATGAGTATATTTAGAATCCGATAGCATGAAAGTGTTTTTACGTGTGAGGAGACAGAAGTACAAAGAGGTGGTTATGTGTGGTGTTTGATCACCTCTGCACAATGACTCGGCCATGACTCAAACCTGGGTAGTGTTTCTGAAGCTTCCTCAGACCTTAGGTGTGAAACAGCCCAGTCCATGTTTAAGAAGAGCCCTTAGCATGTGCCATGTGCCTGCTCCACACCAGCTGCTTTTTCCTGGGAAGGATGTGTTGTAGTTTGTAGGGTTTGTAAGAAGCAAACTGCATGCTCCTGCTTGATGATACTGTGAAGTTCATGTGTACTTTAAAAGAAGTATTATGTTTTATCTCATGATGCTGCTCCTGAAAGACATTTTATACCAGCGAAATACACTTACTAGGAAGGACGGAGTGTGGCCAATGTCAAGAGCTGTCTGTGGTTCAGCCATGTGCTCCTTCAGTTCTGCTGGTGCGCTCACTCCTGTGTAAGTGTCTCACGGGTTTCCTCCCACAGGAGCGCCCTGGTTGTGTAAGGAAAGCTTATGAGCTAACGCAGGTCTCTCTCCCCCGGAGATACTATACCACTTTCATGCTATGAGATTTTCACTATGCTTCTAAGAAAGAACGAATTGGACTCTTACCATGCATCGTATGTAATTAGTAACTCAACGTGGAATAAAGACCAAAGCCTACACGCAAAAACTGATACTGCCAGAAGAAAACACAAGAAAAGTTTCATGCCATTAGATTTGGCAGTAATTTTGGGAAAATAACACCAAAAGCATAAACACAAAAGTTTAAAAACATTTTCTCTTCATAATGGGATACAGTAGCTGATGAAAGGATCTACGGAATGGAGAGAAGCTCCTCCAGAGCACATCTAAGAAGGATCTGGTCTCCACAGTGAACGGTGAACATGTTCGGTATGACAAATAGTCTTAAAAATGGAGGCAGCTGGGGCAAGGTCACACATGCCTGCCATCCAGCCACTCTGGAGGCTGAGGAAGGAGGATTGCTCAAGCCTAGGAATTTGAAGTCAGTCCAGTTTCAGGAAAGCTACGGACAGTGACCAGTTAAAAGGGAAAGGTGCTCAGCATCGTTTGTCACTAGGAGTGCAAGCCAAGCGCAGGATGGTGAAATCCCTTACACACCAAAATGGCTGCTGTTTAAGAGAGGGAGAGAAAGAAGTATTGACGAGGATATGGAGACATAGGAACCTTTCTGCCCTCTTGGAAGGTAGGCTGATGCCACCTTTATAAAAAGACATACTCCAGCACTCAGGAAGCAAAGGTAGTAGGTCTCCAAGTTCAAGGACAGCCAGGGTTACATCGAAAGCCTGTCTCAAAAAACAAACAAACGGGCTGGAGAGATGGCTTGGTGGTTAAGAGCACTGGCTCCTCTTCCAGAGGTCCTGGGTTCAATTCCCAGCACCCACATGGCAGCTCACCAATTAATTGCCTGTAACTCTACCTCCAGGGGATCTGACACCTCACACAGACATACATGCAGGTAGAACACCAATGCACATAAATAAATCATTAAGAAAAAAAAAAAAAGACCTGCCTTTAAAAAAAAAACAGGAGGAGGAGCAATAATAGGGGCTGACTGTTCTTCCAGAGGACCTGGGTTCAGTTCCCAGCACCCACATGGCAGCTCACAACTGTCTGTAACTCCAGTTCCAGGGTATCTGACACCTTCACACAGATAGTAGGCACAACAACAGTGCACATAAAATGAAAGTAAATAAATCATTAAAAAACATTAAAAAAAAACAAATTAAACAATAGACTCACCTGTCTTGGTTCAGCAGTCCACTTCTAGATAGGTATTCAAAAGAATTCTGTGAAGGGCCTCATATTTACACACGTTTATAGCACATGAGTTGCCTTGATCAAAAGGTGTGAGCATCTGAAGTGTCCATCAGCAGGTGACGGACAGACATTGTGCTGTAGCCTGACAGTGGGTTATGACTCGGTCTTAAAGGAGAAGGAAAGTCTGGCACATAGTAGTGTAGCAGGAATCTTAAAAGTTCTTATTAATAAAATCAAACCTGAGGCCAGTTATTGGGGTGAATACTGGAGCATCAGAGAACCAGAACAAGTCACAGCTACCTCACCTCGCCGGATCCTCAGCTGGTCTTGTTTCCTCAGATTGGAGGCCTCTGAGTCTTCATCCAGAATGGGTCTCAGCTGAACTGTGCTGCTAGAAGCCTGAAAGCTTAACCAGCCAAATGCCTAACCAGCCAAATGCTTCTAGTTTCTGGTCCTCACACCTTATATACCTTTCTGCTTTCTACCACCACTCCCTGGGATTAAAGGTGTGTGTCACCATGTCTGGCTGTTTCCAAAGTGGCCTCGAACTCACAGAGATCCAGAGGGATTTCTACCTCTGGAATGCTAGGATTAAAGGTGTGAGTGCCACCATTTTCTAGCCTTTGTATCTAGTGGCTGTTCTGTCTCTGACCCCAGATAAGTT